GAATTTGGAAAGGTGTTCTCTCAAATCATTTGTTTTTCAGTGCATCTCAATATTACAATTTTAGAAGGCAACTAGAACTAGGAAACTAGAAATAGAGAGAGGAGGCATGTTAAATTGTAGACAACCATCAGTGATGGCTAGAATTCCCATAGAACCAGATCAGAAAATAATAGTGTTCACTGAAGACCAACTCCACATATAGGAGGAGTTAGAAGTTGCCTAACAAAACAGAATTAGATGGAAACAGTCAGAGCAAGGGTCTGGGACAATGGTCTTTGAAGTGTGTTATAAATCAATGTTTCCAAGTTCATTATCAGAATCCAATTACTCCAAGTGTAATTTTTTCTTATCTCATAGAGATGTCCAGCATCATCAAAGCAGACTAGAAGTGGCTTCCCTCAAATTCTGTGGTATAGACACATTCTTATCCAGCTTTTGTATGTGAGTCCATCAAAACACCAAAATAAGTGGAATGCTCAGTCTTTGGTCTAGAAGAGTCATTCTTTTTTTTTTTCATTTATTGCCTTTCAATAAGTAAATTTCCTAAATTTTAAGTTATAACATAAACATGTTGAAAATGCTGCTTTCATTTGTTTGCTATAGTGGCAATCAGCATAAGATTTTATTTAGAAAAGAACATATTTTCCATTGAAAAAATAGGTTCAAAAGGTGGTTACAAAGGACTGTGGCTAAATTGCATATACACTGCTCCACAATTTATCTAGGAGAAGCGGGAACATCTGTGGAACCTGAAGTCTAGTGCTTTTTAAAGGGTCTACCTGGAGCATGCATGTGGCAGTGGACAGAGGAACAGGTGGGACACTCACAAACAATCATGAATCAACCTCCCCACCCCCATCAGCCGTGGAGATAACCCGGGTGAGACTGAGGCTATAACCTGGGTCACAAAGGCCCCTGTTGTATAGACTCTAAAATTGCACGTGGCCTGTTTCTGATGAGTTTTCCTTCTTGAATTCATTTTTGAATTCAACCTGCATTATGTCTGCCTGGACCTGACGTTCCAGTTGTGGCATTGATTTATGTTGTCCGGTCATTTGCTTTACTCTGAACTAAAGGTGGGATGGAAGGGGTAATGGTAGGGTTTTTACCCAGGGTGATTTTTGTCTTGGGTTGAACAAAGGTAAAAAGGAGAAGAAAACTGATAGCAACATAGACGAGAAAGAAAATGGTCCCATTCATAATTCTGCATTAGCTAACTCAGTTTTCAGTTTTGGGGTGTAAGTCAATAAAACTCAGACTTTCACGAAGGTGGCTTAAAGAGATGAAGAGCACATAAGAGAGTTGTTGGGAAAAATTAGAGGCAGGGATGGGTGAGCCACCGAACTAACCTCCTAACAGCATTTTCTTTAGAAACAAGCATTCTCACCAAAAGCATTGGGAGGGTTAAAGAAAGATGTGAGATTAAAATTCAGTTAACTTTTGCTGATAAGTCTTTGTTTTCTGAAGATCTGGGCAAGTGGATTGAGTCTTGGAGGTGTTTTAAGATTTTATTTAGAAATTATGAATATATGAAAATAATATGGACAAAATATACCAAATTCTTTTGATTTTTATTGTCATGAACTAAAAAACAACTATGAGACAAAATCCTGCCACCTACTCTCAATTCTTTGGAAAACATGCCACAAGTCACCAATATTTACAAATTTTGGATACATACATGCTCGTACACGGGGTAAACATTAAAAAAACCTAAATGGCTTGAATGGAGGGCTTACCTATCATTAAAGAGAAGAATGAAGTGTGCTTAAAGTAATTTCTTTTTCAAAAGAAGGCCTAGTCTTTTCACCAAATGCTATTGCTTATAGAAAACAGAATTTAAAGCCGAAATCTCAACAGATGGTGCTACAGCGCCACCATCTGGCTTCACAAAAGACAGCAGGGAGTCACAATATATTAGAGGAGGACAAAAGTCAGTGTTTTCCCTAAAGAACTTGTGGAAAAAAGAAAAGAAGGGACTCCGTCAGTGTGGCTCTGTAATTGTCACTACTTTAGCACACATTAAATGTCCATGGTGTCAGGAACTGTCTCTATCTCTTTTTTGGCTTCTATTTTTAATTTGAAACATGAAAACATTTTAGTAGATAAAACTTTAAAAATATGAAAATGTCTTTATATATGAAAATGTCTTTAAAGTTTTTTTTTACAATCCATGTTTGAAATTAAAACAAAAAAAACAAAAAAAAAAACAAACAAAAAAAAAAGTTTTTTTTCTTTAACAAAAATAAAAGGGGTTTTTTCAGCCTTCAAAGTCTATAGTTTCAGTGTTAGTTTGATAGAGCTTTTATCAACAAGCTTGCCTCACTGATTTTCAACTTTGGATATGATCTTTTTGTAATGCTGCTAAAACTTCTTAAAGTTTTAGACATATTTAAGCTAAAACATATTTCAATACATAATCAGAAGAATAATTTTGACACTGAAGACATGGTGCATATTTAAAAATCTTCTTCTAAATATAATATTGAATACAATTTATACTCCCCAAATCTGAATGTCTTAATTTAATAAGAAGCATTAGCTCAATATTAGGCTAACTATTCTATGAATTGAAGTCATAACTAGAAGGTTAACAATTGCTTTATTAAAAAAGCTAATTAGCAATTGATGTGAAGCTTGAGATTATCTTCAATATTTCTAAATATTTTTTTACATATAGATATGGCATTAATCACAGCTTGACTTATTTCCTATTAAATTTCATAATAGCTAATTTAAATGAAATTTAAAAATGCAGGCATTTAATATAGCAATTAAAAAAATCATCTATATGGCTCCTTGTTGAGAATTTGAGTTATAAAACATTTTGGGTAACCTACCTGGCATTTGTATTTGTTGACCTGATTTTTGCCAGTATTACTATTATTCATGTGTGGATAATATTGCTTTGAGGGTGGGATGGATATGAGGAAAAGAAATATTATGGGAGTCAAAAAGGTTATTTCTCTGTTGCCCAAAGACACAAGATTTGTTCTTCCTCCCTGTTGTCATGGAATAGATGAATTCAGGATTTCTGGAGAGCTGTGCCTGTTTTATGCAGAACTACCACAAGAGGGCGTAGATGCTGATCATTTTTCAATGGGAGACCCATGAGAAAAACTTTGCTTTTCTACTGTGTATATGGTACACTTTATATGAGTACACTCATACTGATTAAATCATGCAGTACAGATGTACCCTGTGGGAGTATTTTTTCACAGAATTAAGTTTGATGCTGTTATTCTATCTAATAGGAAACCACTACATTAAATATCACTGAATGTGCCCTAGATCATATAATTTGTGTTTAGCATTTCATTGCCCATTGCGTAACTTTCCATTTTCTTATCCCTAGATTCTTATTATCTTTTTTCTTCCAGATTTATTAAGGTGTAATTGACTATATAGAGAGAGTCTACAATGTAACATTTTGATATATGTGTACATTGTGAAATTATTAAATTAATCTAATTAAGATATCCCTCAGCTCACATGCTTATCATTTTTTCCTGTGTTGAGAACTGAAACTCTTATTATCATTTCTCATCCTGAGACTCCAATTCTCAATGTTTTGCTTAAACCCAGTCTTTACACTTTCAATATCTTGCTGAGTATGTACACTTGGATATTTTCTCTTTGTCTCAAATATGATGCATCTAAAGCCAAACACCATCTTTTATTCCATATGCAAAATATTTTCTCCAAGTCTACTGTTCCTCTAGACATCCACCTTGAACCTTTGTCATGGTGTTTGAGTCTTCCTTCTCTTACCATATCTAGGCCAGCATTAGTAAATACATGCATGCATTTCAACTTGAACTTGGACCATAATGGACCTCTGTTAATCAATCATGCCATTAAATAATTCAACAAGTAATAATCCAATGACCCTCATATAGCAGATAATGTTCTTGGCACTGAAGAAAGAGTAATGAACTAAACAATGAGAACCCTGCCCTCAATTTGCTTATGTTAGAGTGGAAAGAGAAAGACAACAACAACAAGTAAGCAAATTACGTCTTAAGTTAGAAGGCGACATGTGGTATAGAAAAAGAATTGAGCCGCATAAGGGGAAACGGGCATGTTGGCTTGAAACAGTGTCAGCTTCAGATAGGGTAGTTAGAGTAGCCCTCACACCCTGAATTTGAGCTCACCATTATTTTTAATGATGTGTTTTAGACAGAACCTTGTTCATCGTCCTTGATCTAAGCAGTCACCAAATTTTGTTGATTTTTCTCCCAACATGCTTTCCTTTTCATTTCTACTGCTATTTGTTTTATTTAGTCTGCTATTCCTCCATGCTTAGATTATTACAAAGCCTCCTAACAGGGCTATGCCTCTATGGGTAGTCGGGTCAGATGCTTATGAAAACTATTTTGATGAGGCCCTGTGACAAGCCACTGGAACATGGGCAGAAGTGATGTGTACATCTCCAGGTCTGGCTCACTAAAACTCCTACAGTCGTCCACATTCTATCTTTACCCCATCTACTGACGAGGGAGACCCCTCAATCTGTTATTCGGTGCAGCAGGCACCAGAGACCCCCAGACAACATCGGCATAATAGTCACCTGTCACCCGGCCCATCAACTGGTCTACGGCCTGGCGTCAACATAACGCTAAATCTATTGCCTGGCGCATCAACATGATACTAACCTATTGGTGACACATCTACTAACCTACACCTGGTACCCCGCCCCTCGGACCACCCCAACTTAATAAAAGTGGGGAAAATCGGGTAGACGGTGCTCAGAATTTGGTGGCGAGGCCCCTGTGAGCCCGCCGGCCTTGATTCTCCGACTCTCCGTGTGCCGCTCGGTTTGTCTTCCGGACCCCCGCTGCAACACTTGCTGCAACATTTTGGTTCCCTGACCGGGGAAAACCCACCACGCTGGCCTCTTGAAGCCACCGCTTCAGGGCCGGGCACAGCGACCGGCGGGACCGCGGTGACAGAGGGGAGCCGGCGTCAACCGCCATTTTGGGGAATATCTTCGCTCCCCCGGAAGTCCCGTCAGTCAGCCGCGGGGCCGAATTCGCCCGGACTCGCCGGAGGGACGGACCAGTCAAATCAGTCTGGAAGCTTCCGACCAGGTGAGGGCCGGGGGCCGCCCGAGCCAGGCCCGTCAGACGACGGAAGAGGAGCTTCGTCCCCTCCCGAGAGCAGGGGCGTCCCAGGGCGGGAACTGGGACTCGGCCCGTGTGAGTGAGCGAGTGAGCGCGACCGTCCGCGGCTCCACGCTGCGGCCGGCACTGAGGGTCCCCAACTGCGGCTCTGCGGCGGGGCACAGCGGTGAGTCACTGCCCAGGGGAGCGACCGGGCCGGGCTGTGCGGGCACAGCTTCGCCACCACGCGCCTCGGTTCCCCTGAGGGACGCGGCCAGGCGGACACCCAGAGAAACGCCCCCTTCGTCTGTGAAGCTGCGACGCCGTTCCGGGGTCTGGGATGGGCGGGTCGAGTCTAGGCCTGCAGCCCCTAAATGCGCGCTACAGACCTTCGAGAAGGGTCTGACGGGAGACTGGCGTCACTCTGAGTCCCGGTGGACTCAGGGCCGCTGTGAACGGAACGGCCCACGTTCGGGCGCCTGGCCCCCAGCAGGGACCGTGGACCTCCCCACCGCGCGAGCAGTGTGGGGGACTCGTGACCAGGACTCCCGGCCACCCCGGCCAATTCCCTTACGTGATTCATGGCTAGAGATTGCTCAGACCACGCCCCCTCAGTCCGGTTCTGTGCTAATAAGGGACAGAACAGGGTGTTTGTGGCCCAAAGGACCTGAGACTCCAAACTGTCCACGCCCATCTATCAGGAAGCTCCTGAAGAGGATGGACCACCGCCACCCTATATCCCTACCGTGACCCCTCCGGAAGTACCCCGAGTCCACCAGACACCCACCACCGTCAGTCTCCCCGCTGCCAGCTCCGGACCAACCCGGTGCCGACACTCCCCTCGCCCTCGGGCTACGGTCAGCTCAGGCCCCAACTGCAGCCCTCCAGGTGACCCTGCATGAGGTGTGAGGTCCGGTGCAGGTTACAGACGATGGGTCCCTTCAGCCAGGGCAGCCAGTCCTGTGCTACCAGCCCTTCTCCGCTACTGACCTTCTGGACTGGAAGCCCCACACCCCGCCACACTCCGAGAAACCTCAGGCCCTTGTTGACCTCCTGGAATCCATCTTCCATGACCCACCCTACCTCACTTGGGAAGACTGCCGCCAGCTCTTTGACCTTTTTTTTTTTTATAAATGTTTGAGACAGAGTCTCATTTGTTGCCCGGCTAGAGTGAGTGCCGTGTGCCAGCCTAGCTCACAGCAACCTCAGACTCCGTGGGCTCAAGCCGATCCTCCTGCCTCAGCCTCCGAGTAGCTGGACATACAGCATGTGCCACTATGTCCAGCTAATTTTTCTTATATATAATTGGCATTAATTCTTTCTATTTATAGTAAGAGCGGGTCTCCTCTTGCTCAGGCTGCTTTCGAACTCCTGACCTCAGCAATCCGCCCCCTGGCTCCAGAGTGCTAGGATTACAGGCCGTGACCACTGCCGTCTTTCCTTTTTGACCCTTTTTAACACAGAAGCACAACGCCAGGTTGTAGCTGGGACCCGGAGGTGGCTGTAAGACTAGGCTCCAGCAGGGACCTTGGACGTAGAGCAGTGGGCACAGAGAGCAGCACCCGAGACCAACCCAGATTGCTATTTCAACTCCCCGAGCAGACGAGAGGCACTCGGAAGGTCTCGGGAAGCTTGGGGTCCTCCATGGGGTCCTCCATGAAGTCCTCCATGGGGTCCTCGAGGGAGCCAGAAAACCAACCAACACGAACAAAGTCGCTCTGATCACCCAGAAGCCGGAGGAATGAGGAATCGCAGAGCGAATTCTACAAGTGCCTTGTGAGGCCTACCGAGTCTACACAGCCTTCCACCCAGAGGCAGCCAAAAACGAGCAGATGGTGAATGCCGAGTTTGTGGGGCAGTCCTATGCTGACAACCGACGGAAACTCCAGAAACTTGATGGGTTTGCAGGAATGGACATCACGCAGTTGACGGAAACGGCCCAGAAGGTCTGTGTTAATCGAGACCGGACTGCCCAGAGGGAGAGCGACAAGGGAATGAGCAGAACGCTGCTCTCCTGGCCGCTGCCCTTGGAAGACCTGAGCCAGCCGAGAGAGCCGGCCGCCACGGGAAGGAGGACCCGGGAGACGAGGGACCCTGAAGCCTGACCAGCGCCTGGTGTAGGGACTGTGGTCACTGGAAGCACGGATGTCCCAACAGAAGAGCCCGCCCACTGCCAGACAGGAAGCTGCCCAGGGGCTGCCAGCAGGAGCCGGAGACCCAGGACCCTGTCGGTCTCGCTGGGGTCGACTTGGAATAGGACCGACTGGGCTCCCTGACTCTTGGCCCCTGGGAGGCTGTGGTCACAATGGAAGTGGGGGGCCGACCAGTAACGTTCATGGTGGATGCTGGGGCAGAACGCTCGGTGGCAACAACCCTGGTGGCTCCATTTACAAAGCGGGAAACCGCCATTGCTGGAGCCACAGGAACTCGAGTAGCTCCACCCTCCTGCCAGTCCGGAACATGCCAGATGGGGCCACCATATAAGACATGGATTCCTGTACATGCCAACGGCCCCATTCACCTGCTAGGTCCAGCTGTCCTGAGCACACTGGAAGCCCAGGTCACCTTCCACCAGGAGGAACCACAAGCCTCACGCTTGGCGCCCTAGAGACTCTCATAATGGCAGCCACCCTCCTGCCAGGCAAAAAGCCCAACGGTAAATACCGGCTTGTCCAAGACCTGCGACTGATTAATGAGGCCACAGTGACTCTCCACCCGGTGGTACCGAATCCATACACCCTCCTGGGCCTCATTGCTCCGATGCTGCCTGGTTCTCCTGCCTGGACTTGAAGGATGCTTTCTTCTGCCTGCCGCTTGCTCCGAAGAGCCAGCCCCTGTTCGCCTTCGAGTGGGAGGATCCTCAGGCTAGAAGGAGAACCCAGCCGACCTTGACGCGGCTACCACAGGGATTTAAAAACTCACCAGCTGTATTCGGGGAGGCTCCAGCCACTGACTCCATCTCCTTTCCTTGAGAAGAAACCCTCTGCACGCTTCTACAGTACGTCGATGACCCCCTTCTAGCAAGCCCAGCCAGAGAAGACGGCCGCTGGGGAGCCCGGCGCCTGCTCCAGCTGCTCACTGACACTGGGTACAAAGTCTCCTGGGAAAAGGCACAGATCTGCAGGCAGCAGGGAAGTACCTGGGTTTCCACGTCACTCAGGGGCGCCAGACACTGGGACATGAGCGTGAGCATGCCATCTGTACATCTCCCAGGCCCACCAGTCGGAGACCACTCAGAGAATTCCTCAGAGCGGATGGATTCTGTTGCATCTGGATCCCAGGTTTCTCCCTAAGAGCCAAGCCTCTGTACGATGCCCTACGCGGGCCTGAAAACAAAGAACTGGAATGGGCCGCGAGTCAGGAAAGGGCTTTCCAGGAAATAAAAGACTCACTAAAAAGAGCCCCGCCCCAGGGCATCCGGACCTCACTGAAGACTTTAACCTGCTTGTTCAGGAGAAGAAACAAGTGGGAGTTTTGACTCAAACTGTGGGCCCGTGGCAGAGACCGGTGGCTTACTTGTCGAGACAATTGGATCGGGTAGCGACAGGATGGCCACCTTGCCTCCGTGCACTGGTGGCCACTGTCCTGCTAGTCAAGGAAGCAGAGAAACTCACACTGGGACAGAACCTCTGTGAACGAGTCTCTCATGCAGTAGCATCTCTAACGAACACCTCGGCACCGGTGGCTCTCAAGCCGCCGGTTAGCGCAATACTAACGCCTGCTATGCGAAAATCCGAGGGTCACCCTGGAGACTGTGCGGACCTTGAATCCTGCCACCCTCCCACCCACCGAGCCAGGGCCCCTGGCCATGATTGTACTGAGGCGGGAGAGGAGGTCTCTGCCAGCTGGCCAGATCTGAAAGACAGTCCTCTACCGGCACGGGACGTAGAACTCTACACGGATGGCAGCAGTTTTATCCAGAATGGGAAAGGACTGGCGGGCTTCGCAGTCACCAGAGTTGATGAGGTCATCGTGTCAGCTCCCTTGCCCCAAGGGTGGTCGGCACAAAGGGCGGAGCCATGGGCCCCCATCCAAGCCCTCAGGCATGCCCGGGGCAAGAAGGCAAACATACACACAGACTCTAAATATGCCTTTGCCACAATACATGTCCACAGGGCAATATACAGGGAGAAGGGGCTGCTGACTGCAGGTGGAAAGCAGATCAAAAATAGGGATGGGCCGGGCGTGGTGGCTCACGCCTGTAATCCTAGCACTTTGGGAGGCCGAGGCGGGCGGATTGCTCAAGGTCAGGAGTTCAAAACCAGCCTGAGCGAGACCCCGTCTCAAAAAAAAAAAATAGGGATGAAATCCTCCCAACTGCTGGAGGCAGTTTGGGAGCCAAAAGAAATTGCAGTCATCCACTGTGGAGGGCACCAAAAGGGCACAGATCCAATTGCCACCGGCAATCCCCTGGCAGGCCAAGCTTCACTGTGGAGGTTGTGCAAACCCTCACCAAGGCACGAGGAATCAAATGGAAACGACATACAGCCTACAGGCCACAGAGCTCAGGCAAAGTACAGCGCATGAACTGGACCCTCAAGATCGCTCTAGTGAAGCTATGTCAGGAAACACAGTTACCCTGGGTAGACATGCTAAGCCCAGCCTGTTCAGAGTCAGGTGCACACCGGGGCCCGCAGGATATTCACCTTTTGAAATCCTGTTCGGTAGACCTCCCCCACTCATCAAGTGATTAAGGGGAGACATTAGACAACTAGGGGAATTGAATACAAACACACACCTCCAAGCCTTAGCCAGAACTATGAGCCATAGCCACCACTCTGTCCTAGAAAAAACCCCTATTGCCCTGGGTCTCCCTGTCCACCTCCATCAGCCAAAAAATCTAGACTGGGTAAAGGACTAAAAAAAAAAAAAAAACCTTGGAGTCCACCTGGAAGGGTCCCCACACTGTGATACTGGCTACTCCCACTGCTGTTAAAGAAAGTTGCAGGTGTCACTCCATGGATCCATCACTCCCGGGTGACAAAGGCTGAACCAGACAACGAAACTGGTCTCTGGACTGCACGTCAGGACCAGCAGAACCCACTAATGATCCAGCTTAACCGTCTCCCAAAGAGGACAGCCACACCCAGGACTGAACAGGAGTAAATGGGACCGCTGGCCCTGGCCCTCACTGGGGTTGTAGTGACTTTACTGGGGACTGCAGTCTTCTCGGTAGCTCTGGGAGACTGGACTGGACTGCAGAGGACGTCTCTCACTGTGGTGTTTTGGCTCATCATAGGATGTCCGCTCCTGCCTCAGTCCCCACCCTCCTCCTGGTTGGGACACTCGCCCTAACAACTGTGGCAGAGAAACGCTGCCCTGAGGCCTGTTATGCTAGGACTTAGATTCCCTCCATTAACGGGGTCACTGGAGGCTTCTGGACCACGGGAGGTTTCACAGTCCGCACCTACATGCCAAAGACGTGTTATAGGCAGGCTCAGGTGTGCTACAGTGGGGAAAGGAATACTGGACTGGCACCATTACGGGCCCTGCATACTGATCGCTATTATAAAATGGACAACTGTAACCTGGAGAGCAACAGCTCACATAATGGCCTTACGAGGCTACCACCCACTGGGAAATGATGCCCTATAGTAGACATATAAGGGCATCAAAGGCAGGAATGATGAGGGAAATCCCCATCTGTTACTTGGTGCATCAGGGACGGGGGACCCCAGCCACTCACGGAAGACCCACGTCAGCATAATAGTCACCTGTCACCCGGCCCATCAACTGGTCTACTGCCTGGCATCAGCATAACACTAAATCTATTGCCTGGTTAACCACTGTTAACCTATTGGTGACACATCAACTAACCTACACCTGGTGCCCCACCCCTCGGACCACCCCAACTTAATGAAAGTGGGAAAAATCGGGTAGACGGTGCTCAGAATTTGGTGGCGAGGCCCCTCTGAGCCCGCCTGCAAAATAAACTTTGATACTCCAACTCTCTGTGTGCTACTCGGTTTGTCCTCGGGTCCTCCGCCGTAACACTTGCTGTAACACTTGGATGATTTGATTACCTCCATGACTTCAATGACACTGAACCTGCACCTCAAGCCCAGACCCAGACTCTATTCCCACCACGACTCTCTCTAGAATCTTCCCACCTCTTTCCTTCCCTTGCTGCCACTATCTGGGATTAGGACTGCTTCCTCTCATTGGATTGCCACACAAAGTCCTTCACTGGTCTGCTTCTTTTAGGTCTTGTCCCGCTTCCTAACTTTCTCCTGGGAGAGCAAGAGCGATTCTTTAAACTAGAAACATGATCAGGTTACTACTTTACTACTACTTCAGTGGCTTCTTAGTCATGCCCGGAACATCATCATTCCTTAAAAATACAGATTCTTTTATATGTGTTTATAAAGTATTTCAAGACCTGCTCCCTACTTCTTCATTTTATTCTTTTGATATTTTTCTTTTACTCTTAAGTTCCAGCTCAGCCTGACTTCTTTTAGTCTCTGGAACAAAACTTGCCCTCTGGCTCCAGGTCTTCGCTGATGCTGGTCACGTGGGCGGAACAACCTCTATTTCCTTTGCCTGGCTGACTCGCAATTACCCCTCAGATCTAACTTGGATTCTCGGCCTCCAGAGAGCTTTTTCTAGCCTTGGGCTGGGTTGCAAATCACCTGCATTGCCATTACCAAAGCACTTATCCCAATTTATTGTCATTGCCTGTTACATTGTCTGTCTTCCTCCAGTAGATTGTAAACACCATCGCAGTTCTAATATTCACAGCTGTTCAGAAGTGGACTGGATTATAAAAGGGATGAAACTCAAACATTAGGTAGGTGGTTGGATTTGATTTTTACACTGCTCTTCCTGGGCTGTATGTTCCAGCCAAACCGTTTGATCATTCTCAAATACGCTTTGTGCTTTCCTCCACTGTGACTTGGAGCGAATCTTTCCCTTTGCCTAAAACCATTTTCCTCTCCTCTATACCTGTGGAAATTAGAGTCCCCTTTCAAGGCCCAGCTTCAAAATTATCTTCTGCATGAAGATATTTTATTACCCACATTAGAGAAGATCTCGCCTTTCTCTGAATTCACAAAATGCTCTGGACTTCTTTTAATTCCTGACATATCATTTTAAATTGTAGTGATAGCTGTATTTTAGTAAAAGGATGTCTAGAAGAGTATCATCCCTCTCTTCTCTGAATTGCTATAATATGTTGTGTCACTTTTTTGGAACACAACATACTTTGCCTTATGTCGTAGTTACATACATACGTGACATCCCTTCTACAACAGCTTCGAGAATCTCGCATATTTGTGTGCACTGCAGTGCCTAGTGTATGTGTGTATATGTGTATATGCGTATGTATAAAACAACTCTCAAAATATAAAACAAAATTATTGAATGTATCAACAAACCAGCTCTTTCTTATCTTCCGCCTGTGTCTATATGACCTTCCGTTTTAAGTCAAATAGCCTTATTCCCTGGCCCCTACTTGTCCATTATATCTATTTATTTATTTATTTTTTTGCATATTGCTCTGATAGTCTACGTTCATATTTCCCATTGCCGAAAGCCTACTTCCTTGGCTCAAATGCTGCTTCTCTGTGGAGCCTGCCCTAATGCTTCCTGCCTGAAGAAATCTCAGCTAAGGTGCTTGGGCATTAGTTAGCAGGACATAGGAATACCATCCAGAAAAATTAAATCATGAAGTAACATGATCCAGGAAGTAATTTGATAAGATTATCTATTAATAGTAAGATGTGTAGGAGGTAACAGAAGGGACACTTTGGAGACATTGCAGGGAGAGGCTCACATGTGCTTACACTTGTCTTGCAGGTCTGGAAAAAGGGGATCAGGCCTTAGAGCATTATGAACATGCACTCAACAGGGAATGATTTTTCTAACGTTTCTGTTTTAGAGGGACTCTAAGAAAGAGGGGAAGAAGACCAGAAAGGTGGCCGACCCTGTCAGCGTAGTTGAAGAGGATAAGAGGAGGATGAGCAGGTTTGCCGGTATTGGAGCAGTCTCTATTGTAGACGCCAACCTGACAATTTGACAAGGTATTTCCCTGAATCTGTTTATGTTTTTGTTTTTAAGCTACTGTGATGCAGGCATCATCTATATTTATCTTTTATGAATTTTTTATTTACCATTTGTAGCTTTTATATGGAAAATATACTCAGCTGCTGAGTAATCATCTAGAATTTTATGTATCCTCATGTATGAAGCTTCGTACATCAGTGAGCGACCATAGAAGGGCCCTTCACCTTCCATCTCTCTGATTCCAGGAACAGCCTGTTGAGGTGGAAAGGACATGGGTTTCTGAATTAGAAAAATATGGGCTGAATTCTGTTTTCATCACTTACTAATTGTATGAGCGTGGCCAAATTACTTAACTTTCCAGAGTCTTATTTTAGGCTTTGTTTTGTTTTAATCTGTTCAATTAGTATCAACAATGGCAAACTTACAGAGTTATTATGACAACCAAGTGAAACACAAATGTAGTGTCTGGTACCTGGTCAGCAACCCCTTCTCCCCAGGGTTGCTAGACTTAGGAGAACATAAACTTTGGCCTGCAGAGGATGAGAATTGATGCAGAAATTAGCAACTTACTTCTTTAAATGAGAATGGGTTAAACTTCGCTCCTTATGAAATCATAAGTTAGGATAGATGCCATGTATTTTATTAATTGCAAATCAGAAACATACACCTCTGCAAACTACTTTGAATTCTTACATTGTGTGGAAATTCAATGCAACATGCTGACACAATTTGTGTGCTGTTCTCTTTTACAGGAAAGACAGATTAGGGGTGTGTATGTGTGACTCATGGTTTATATTGTAAAAGTAAGTGTGTGGAACAAGAGTACTTTGCAAGCAATTTGCAAACATTTGGGAAAGCAGGTTTTACCAAAGTTATTCTAAATTTATAAAGACACATAATACCTATTTCCTGTTTTGTGTTTGATATATGATTTTTTTTTTCTTAGAATTGGGAAATTATCTTTCTTTTTTTCTCACTTTGTTGCCCAGGATAGAGTGAGTGCTGTGGCATCAGCCTAGCTCACAGGAACCTCAAACTCCTGGGCTCAAGCGATCCTCCTGCCTCAGCCTCCTGAGCAGCTGGGACTACAGGCATGCGCCACCATGCCCGGCTAATTTTTTCTATATATATTAGTTGGCCAATTAATTTCTTTCTATTTATAGTAGAGACGGGGTCTCACTCTTGCTCAGGCTGGTTTCGAACTCCTGACCTTGAGCAATCTGCCTGCCTCGGACTCCCAGGGAGCTAGGGAAATCATCTTTGACGTCTTAAAAGTGAAACATCATAATGGACTTGGTGTTGAGAGGTAGTCAAAGCAGGCAGACAAGATCCAAATGAAATACAAGTGGTCTTTTGGATGGGACCTGCTTGGCGAAAGTTCACCTCTGTCAATGGGTAGAATTGGTGATGATGAGTATTTCAGGCCTAACTTGTGGTCTTTTAGAGTACCCTTAACTGTGTTAACAGGCGCTTTCTGTACTCTCATGTTGAAACAGACTCAGGACTAAAAGCACATAACAATTATGAGGAAACAGACATGGATCTTTCCACAGGTATTTGATTTGATTTCAGTGCCCACTATACTGGCCAGTACCTAGCAGGTGTTTGTAATGTTTGGGCTAATTTTAGTTTATAAGACAAGTCTGTATCTGGAAGCAGTTTTTGGCTTTCTGATCAGCCAAATGTCTGCTGCCTGGTTCTAGCCAGCCCAGTGCAGGAGTGCCTTGCTTTCGCTCATTCTCTCTTTAAAGACATTGGAGCTACTGGGTGTATTTCAAGCCCTGATTATAGGATTTGAGTCATTGTTCCTGTTATGAAGGCAGTTTGGTCAATTCCGAGTATTCACCATGTAGGAAACATGGTAAATGTTATGTAAGAAAAATGAATGAGGCTTGTTCTGTAGGATTTCAAAGAACCTACAGGAAATAACTTTTATTTATTTATTTTTTTTAAAGTCTTTATTTTTTATTTTATTTTTTTGAGACAGAGTCTTGCTTTGTTGCCCAGGCTAGAGTGAGTGCCGTGGAGTCAGCCTAGCTCACAGCAACCTCCAACTCCTGGGCTCAAGCGATTCTCCTGCCTCAGCCTCCCGAGTAGCTGGGACTACAGGCATGCACCACCATGCCCAGATAATTTTTTCTATATATTTTTAGTTGTCCAATTAATTTCTTTTTAGTTTTAGTAGAGATAGGGTCTCAGTCTTGCTCAGGCTGGTTTTGAACTCCTGATCTCGAGCAATCTGCCTGCCTCAGCCTCCTAGAGTGCTAAGATTACAGGTGTGAGCCACCATGCCCAGCCAGGAAATAAATTTTAACACATACAAAGACCTAGCGTAAGGAAGAATAATCTAACAATTAGATAATGAAAATTTGAATGCTATAATGGAAACATTTGAGTTGAGATTTTGGTCATTTGTCAGTAACGTGGTTATCCAGAGGATGAAGGAAACCTTAACTGGAAGTTGAATACAGTTGGCCTTCTGTATGCATGGGTTTCACATCCGTGGGTTCAACCGACTGCACATTGAAAATATTTGGAAAAAAAGTCTGTACATGTTTAGGACACAATTTTTTTTCTTGCCATTATTCCCTAAACAATATGGTATAACAACTATTTACATGGCATTTACATTGTATTAAGTATTACAGATAATCTAGAGATGATTTAAAGTATTACAGGAGGATGTGAGTGGATCATACGCCATGAATTTTGTTATCTGTGATGACTCTAAGTGAAGAAATCAGAGCAGAGCTGCTCTGCTGGAAGCCCAGTGGGCCTCACCTCAGCCCAGTAGTATCCCCATAAATCCCGAGTAAAAACCTAAGGAATCTGGGGAGCACAGTTTAAAAGTCAAGGATTCTAGATGATCGCTCTCGTCCCCTTCATCTGTTGGGAACTCATCATTTGGAAGGCTGCCTGGTGGGGACAGTGTGGATTGCTCCAGTGGTGGATTCAGTGAAGGCCCTGACTTCGCCTCAATGCAATATGTTAACGTGGCAAAATTGCACTTGAACCCCATGAATGCATATAAATAAAAAATAAATTAAAAAAGAACCCATCGCTCATGCTCCCAATGAAAGAAGACACACAGTTCTCAATTCTATGATTTCTTCTCCCTAAACCTCCCAATGGAAGGAAAAAATAAGATTAACAAACCAGACAGTCTTCTGACTTTACCACTTTACCATCATTCTGGCAGCTGAATTTGAAAAATTGGTCATCTTTTTACTTGTTCTCTTTTACACTTTATGTGCAGCTGATCTTCAAGGTCTCTTGATTTCTCCTTCAGAGAGAAGATACTTCTCTTGTATCCACCCTCTGTGTCTTCTTTTTTTCTGAAACTCCCACAGATGTTCAGCTTATATATATCTGAACTATTGCTCAAGCCTTCTAATTGGCGGCTTCTTCATTCTGGTTGATGAGTTCCTATCTGCTTAATTTTTCTAAACCACCTTTTCAAGAGCATTATTTCTCCCATGATCAAAAATCTTCAGTGGCTCCTCCCTGCCACTGACTGAGGTCTTGGTCCTGCAGCTCTGTGGACACCAGCCTGGCTTCCGTCTCTCTGCGGTGATTCAAGGACTGAAATTCCGAGGGAGACATGGCCAGCCACTGGCCCTGCCATCTAACTATCCCATAATATTCTGCTTAAAATGGTGGCAAATGTTTAGGCCCAAAGGAGACTGGGGAAGTCACAGCAATTTTGATTCCAAAGTTGATTTATATCTGGCTTTGTTATCAACGTGTTGGGACTAGTAGCAGGCATTCCATGTTGTTTAGAACATTCCAGTGGTTTCCCATCCCATGCGGGTGGAGAGCCCAAGTCTTCACAGTGTCCTAAAGAGCCTTATGATGTCAGCCTCTTACTACTTCTCTGGGATTTCCTCCCATTACCAGATCTCCCAATACTCATTCTGGTCTAGCCAAATCGATCATCTCTCATTAAACATGCCCAGCTACAGCCCTGTCTCAGAGCCTTTGTACTGGCTGTTCCCAAAGTCTGGAATGTTCTTTCCCCAGGTGGTAGCATGCCTAATTCCCTCACCCCCTTTAAGGCTTCAATCAAACATCAGCTTATCAGTGAGGACTCTCGTGACCACTGTATTTAAAATAGCAAACCCCCTTTCCACCCTGGTCTGCCTGCTCCCCCTCTATGGCTTTGCTTTTCTCTACAGCACTTATCATCTTCCAATAGACTCACACTTCACTTATTTATGTTGCCTATTTTCTGTCTTTCCAAGTTAATTGTAAACTCCATGAGGGCAGGGATTTGTCTTGTTGACTGGTGTATTCCTAACACGTAAAATAGTGTTGTGCACATAGTGGGACCTCGGTGAACATACGTTGAGTACACGAATGAATGAATGAACAGGATATAATGTTCTTTCTTGAACTCAGCCTTCAGGCTTCCCACAATCCCATCCAAGCTTTACCTTCTGCTGCTCCCTGACATGAGACCCATGTTCCGGATGTTGTAGTCTACTGTCCTCTGAACACTCTTTCCTACACTTGTGCCTTGGGTTGCACTGTAGCCTCCAATACAAAAGCATTCTTCTGACCTTTCCATATTCTCTGTGATTAAGCCAAATTTCCACTCATTCCATGAAACCATCCCCAGTCATGCAGCCTGTATTATTTTTGTCTTCTCATAGATTATTTTTTCTAGACCACGAATTTGGCAATTAAAGACACCTGTACTCGCATGTTTATAGCAGCACAATTCATAATCGCAAGGCTGTGGAAACAGCCCAAGTGCCCATCAATCCAAGAGTGGATTAATAAAATGTGGTATATGTATACCATGGAGTACTATTCAGCTCTAAGAAATAATGGTGACATAGCATATCTTGTATTTTCCTGCTTAGAGCTGGAACCCATACTAATAAATGAAGTATCCCAAGAATGGAAAAACAAGCACCACATATACTCACCAGAAAACTGGTATTAACTGAGCCTAAGTGGACACATAGGAACTATAGTAATTGGGTATTGGGCAGGTGGGAGGCGGGAGGGGGTCGGGTATATACATACATAATGAGTGAGATGTGCACCATCTGGGGGATGGTCATGCTGGAAATTCAGACTTGTGGGGGTAGGAGGGGAAAGGGCATTTTTTGAAACCTTAAAATTTGTACCCCCATAATATGCCGAAATAAAAAAAATAGTTAAATAAGATGCTAACTAACATAAATTCCCAGAAATAAACTGTGTTAGGATTATAAAAAAGAGATTTTGCATCATAATATATAATTTATATTCAAGTCTTTTGATGTGATGTATATACAATGAGTTTCTTCTATTTAACTTTTCAAATGTTTATATTTTGTTTCTCCAGCTTTGGAAGCTCTCTAAGGAGAAGTTAGGCAAAAGAGGTGCTCCCGGGCAGAATGCCAGCCGAGGGTCCCACTGGCCACCCTGAGAAATGAAGGGATCACTACTTTAGCACACTGGAACCACTGCTGGCCTGGGAGAGCTCCTTGGAATATCAGCTAGAAAAACTCTGCCCTAGGAGGTCGTGCTAATAGTAGGTGCTCAGAAAGTATTTGTTGGTGGTCTGATTGATCTCCCGTATTGTTTTGTTTCTAATAGTCTCCCTGCAACCTTACTAAACTTTATGTATATGTACTAATACCAGTAAAAAAAAAGAAGAGACACAAAATCATTATTATGGAGAAGAATTTAAAACTTCATTTAATATTGATGAACAAGAAAGAATTAATTAAAAATATTAATTGTTGAGCCGGGTGTGGTGGCTCAAACCTGTAATCCTAGCACTCTGGGAGGTTGAGAAGGGAGGATCGCTCAAAGTCAGGAGTTCAAGACCAGCCTGAGCAAGAGTGAGACCCCATCTCTACTAAAAAATAGAAAAAAATTAGCTGAACAACTAAAAATATAGATATTAAAAATATGAGCTGGGCATGGAGGCCCATGCCTGTAATCCCAGCTACTCAGGAGGCTGAGGCAGAAGGATTGCTCAAGCCCAGGAGTTTGAGGTTGCTGTGAGCTAGGCTGGCGCCATGGCACTCTAGCCTGGGCAACAGAGTGAGACTCTGTCTCAAAAAAAAAGGATATATATATATATATATATTAATTGGTGATTGAGCTGTTAGACACACCAAAAATGTTTGAGGTTGTACATATGAGAAGTATTTTTGCACATGGGTTGTTAAGTTTGTGGTCATTTTCACCATGATATTTCCATGGAGAAATCTGAGAGAGTGAGCAGTGAGTTTGAAAATGTTTAGTCATTTTAAAATTAATTGTTATATAAAGTTAAAAAATTTAGAATTAAATCTAGGAGCCCCAATTATGTGTATATGTTGCTACACTGCTTAGTTATTTTTAATTTTTAATATGTTGATTTTGGAAGTATTGCACTCCTTAAATGATATTATGTGTTTATAAAATTTTTTATTAGATATTTAATGTCAATATGTCAATTAGATATGTTCAAAGCTTTTAAAACAGTATCTAGAGGAGTACTTGAACATATTAGTTATTCAATAACTATTTCCAGCATGAAAAAGTCAAATGAGATGGGCGGGACAAATGGAACTTCTATTTTCAACTTAATTTTTGTGTATTTTTATTTCTAACAACAAATGTCATGGCCAACTTTTGGAAACAGGTATTAATAGAGGGCTAGCATCAATTTTAAAGTCAACTTTAATGTGATTCTGGAAAGGAATTAAATATTAACTATAGATACTAAATTACTTAATATCCTCTATCTAGTGTGACATAGATACAGGTATCTCTGGATTCAGAAAACAGCTGTGATCCTGAAAGTTTTATTTAACTTGAATTTTTGCCAATAGAATATTATTTTATTACATATAAGAATAATTAATTCTTAAAAAGGAGTAACTCTTCTATTATGAATCTTTGGTGAGTAAGCAAGCTGTATTTGTTTACTTTTTAAATTCAGGAAGTTATAGATTACCTTTGCATATGTATACCTGCGTGTGTTTAAAAATAGTATTTTTATTGAAGTTTAATTTTTGAAAAATTAAAAATAGCCACTTAAGTAGGATACTTGCTTCCTAAAATTTTTCAGTAGCACAAATTTAATAATAAAATGTAACAACTTTACAAATTAAAGTTTGACTTTTACTCCTTTTTTAAGTCTTGTGACAGGCAAAATATTTATTAGAAGCAATGTTTGTCATCCCTTGTCTGCTTCTGACATTGGATCATTCTTTGTTTTGGTGACATATGTTTCTCCTTCTAAAGCAGCTGTTATGAAAGTTTAATTGGTTTTTAATTAATGAGAATTAATGTCGTCCTGAAAATTTCGTGATTTTTAGTTCATAGCATGAATAGTTTTAGACTTTTGAAATGGGCTACTTAAAACTATGGGTTTCTCCAAAAGGAAACTAGGTCCTCCTTCCTCATGTGGCTAGACAGTAGTGTCTAACATATAAGATCAGTAATGTGCCCCAAATCAGTAATGTGCCCACAGTTTCTCTTCTTCACTCTAAAGAAATTCTAAGAAATGTGCAAAATTAATCAAAAGGTGGTACTTAGCCTTCAATTATATGCAATAGCTAGTCTGGATAGAGCCTTCAGATATGAAAAAAAGTTCTCCCATTTTAATGGCGTTTTGCTTTGTCATCAATATTACATGGAAACAAAGCAAATGAATACTCTCAAAAAAACCCCAGGAATTTGGAAAATTCAGGTGGAGAAATGAGAGAGAGCTCCTTCATCTGTTTCTATCCCAGTGGTAGGATGAATCATTACATGGTTTAACCGTTCCATGCCTCTGGGCATCTATAGAATGGAGCAAAACCGTGTCGTTTCTGTTCTTCTGGAGGTGTGTGGGCACTGGAGGTTGTTGTCATGGCGGGCGGTACACTTCCCATGCACCAGGCTCGCAGGTTGCATTGCATCCTGTACCTTAGAGCACAGGAAAGGAGGAGGCTTTGTTGCAATATGAAAAAGCCTGAATACGACTATGTTTGCTCCCTCTGACACTATTTGTTTGAAACATGGTAGAGCTCTGACTATGACAACTGTTAGACTTGCAGGGATAGAAATTGAGTCACTGTAGTCTGCATCTTTCTAATGTGGACACTTAGGGGTAGGAGTCAGTCACTGAATGGTATGCAGGTATCGATAAGGATGACAGGTTGGATAGTAGTTTGCCTGGGGCTTATTGGAATTTCCACATTTCCGAAAATTTGGCCTCATGGTCTGGCATCTTGGGGAATTTCCAAGTCTTCTTTGGGGAGATGGTCTGGACCTAAGAAGCAGTTTCAGTGGTTGCTTGAGAACTACTACTATGGATTGTTCTGGCCAGTCAGATTGTCCAGGCCCAAAGAGGACTGTCTTGGTTGGGGGTGACTCATTCTGCCACTGCAGAAAGTCTGTAAGGTGGCTTCTGTATCTCGCACGTGGACATGAAGGCAAGGATGAAGCTGGGTGGTAGAACACATCCAGACCCACGTCTACATGTGTGTGTTCACTTCTGCCACGCACAACTGCTTAGCACAGTGGCTTTTGCATAATAGATTCTCTGTAAATGTTAATAGAATTGAATTAAATCTATGATATCTAATATAAATAATATTAATAGCTTCATGTTCTGATTTTTCAGTGTCAGATAAATCATTTCCACTCAAGGGAGCTAATATAGCCTGCCTCATAAGAGGATATCTACTAAAATATTTGTTGAGAGGGGGCCTACCAAAATTTGTTGAAATGATAGTCATGGCAATACTTGAAAGCCATTTATTAATATCTAGTCACAAGGGTTGGCTATAGAATTTGTTTTTAGAAATAAAAATATTCTAGAAGGAAGCCACATTTTAGTGAGCCTGTTGTATTTTATCAGTCATCATGAGATTTATCTTTAAGGATAAAACCTATGTTTACCAGCATGTAAGCTCTTTGCTTGGCCTCGTTTATTATACTTACAATGCCATGTGTGTCTCATCATTAAAATTATGATTATAAAATAGGAAAAGTCTGTGATCCAATTGTATGGCTAAGAAGGTACCATGTAAGGTAAATAGATTTCTTTTTTTTTTTAATTGATGAAGCAAAGTACTGTTCAGCAAAGTCTATTTTTTAAAGTATTTATTCAGTTGACAACCAATCCCAAACTAAAGGAGATGAAAAAAAAATAACATAATTAAGAATGTGACATGTTGCCTGTAGCTGAATAGTATGAGGAAGAAAGGTGGGCTTGCAACTTATAAGTAAGTATGATTAAACCAAAGCCTATTCTATTCTATTCACATAAGTTCTGATGTGGTACAGTGACAACCGGATAGCTTAGTGGTTCACCAAAGGAATAAACTGGACATTTGAGTAGAATCAAAGTACTTGGATAGAAGGGTATTTGTCTTGTATTGAAATAGCAAGGTTGGTCTAGGTGGTGTGAACCAGGGCAGGCAATGGACCAAAGGAACCAGCACTAGACAGAAATGGGAACTGGCCTTAGTTCTGCCATCAGCTGTGACTTTGGGTAGGTGCTCACATCCCCATCTGTCAAAGGAGCAGCTGAATTGCATGATCTATGTGTCCCAAGCAAAGAAGAAAGGCTCTTAGAGATTTGCAGCCAAGGCTTGGTGAGAAGAGATGTTGGAGGCTTTGGGTCTGAACATCCCTACAGTGACAATCCACGAGGATCGGTGTGAATGTGACTGAAGGATGGCAGAGTTTTTATTATTCTCTTTTAAACGACTCCATTTTTAGTCTCAGGTTGTCAAACGTTTGGGCATGTCACAGCTTCTTAGCATCCCACGTTCCCGAATTTGTAAAATGGGGGAAATAGTCTAGATCACCAAAGTTCTTCTTAGTTCCAATATTTAAAGAATTATTTTTGATGGAACAAATTACAACAGTAGAGATTTTAATCTTAATTATATTTTCCAGGTATATTTTCAGATATATACCCATGAGTTAAATACTGAAAAAATTAAGTACTGGTGCTCAAATGCAGAAAAATTTATTAGAAATAATACTGGAGTCTAAATTAATTTCCAAATTAATAGATTCAGCATGATGAATATTTTTCTAACAGTAAAGCAATTTTTAATAAATAAATCATAAGTTTGATAATTACCCTTAATTTTCTTTTCTTTCTTTTTTTTTTTTGTAAGAAACCCTCACCCTGCTATAATTATAATGGTTGCATTGTTTACATGAAACAGGGTAAATCTCTCCCAAAAAAGCACTTATGGAGACATCCACAACAAACAAATACATTGTTGGTTCAAATAATCTCAAATAGCAGAAAGACAGTTTTCACTGGTTTAGGACATCACTTAGTATTGTTTTTAGAAAGTCACTCATTTTGACATAGTTCTACTAGTAAATTGTGTTTTATGTTTTAATTAACTCAAGATAATTTTTTTAGAAAAATTTAGTTTGATTTGTGAGAGAGTAAACATTTTTAAATCTTACAGTTAAGACTTCAATAGTATGAGAGCAAGTTTAGAAAACATTTTTATTAGACAAATTATTTAGACAAATTATACACAGAAAGCTCTGTCACTCATAACTGAGGCCTCCAAA